TTCCAGGTGTGGTGAAACCATGTGTCTTCTAGGGACTTAAGCACATCTGTTAAAGCAGTGTGCGCATGGCGTATGCCCAATACTTTAGAAATTTCTTTATTCACAATATACAAGCTTCTTTATAGCTATTTTGCTATATCACTCATCATATTTTACAAAGCAGTTGGTATATCACTCGGATCATGTTATTTGGAGGATTCACACCGCATATGCTATATATTGATATCAAGTCACTTGGTTGATTACGATTATCAAAACCACTCGGTTGGTTGGATTATTTATTCCTTGACTATACGCTTGGTTTGTTCAATTAACCACATTGTCGGGGGCTACACCTATTAGGTGCATCTAGTCGGTGCACCTGACTTTATTTTCCAGCCCTCCACAGTCTTCAGATTTGGTAAAAGTACTCGGGAGACCATGACAAAGATGATTGAAGCACTCGGCTTTGGAGTAATCTGGTTCGAGAGAAGATTATCTTTTCGACTGCGAAGGTCTCAGGGGCTACTGTGGATATTATGGGTACCCCATACCCATACGGCATGGTTATCCGACTAGTCATAGGGGATAACTTATATCTATGGAATATGTAATAGATCATGACTCGGGTATTACGTTTCCTTATATATTACGGAACAGCCTAAAGTCCTGGTTTGATAATATTGTAAAGTAGATTTAGGAAACCGATACCGTGTTGGTTAAGGTTTCTATCTTGTAATCCTGCCCCCCATCCTATATAAGGTGGGCAGGAGGCCCTCTAGGGGGCAGGAGACAACCTGATCGTCAGATCTATACTACACCCGGCGGATTCAAATCCCCAAACAGGAGTAGGGTATTACCTCTCATTGAGAGGGCCTGAACCTGTCTAAATCCTTTGTCTCTGCATCCATCCACTTTAGGTCTCGTACGCTACCCCCTTTTATTATTGCCGAAATCTAGTTTCGACAGTCACCGACTGACAGACAGCGCCGTGTTGCAGTGCAGCTGCTGTGCGATCGATCGAGGTGGTGAGACCCTCCCATCCCCGCCACCTCGCAGCCACCGGGCCGCCCGCCCGGCCGCGCCCCCCGATCCCTTTCTCCCTCATCATTTCGCGTCTCGCGCGCAGCCGCGCTCCTGCAAGCAACGTAACGCAACGCGCGCCGCGACCGAACCACCTAACTGGCCACGCGCGCGCGCGCCCGCCCGCGCCGCGTCGGCCTCTCCGAACCGCGCACACAAAACTGCTCGATTATTGTGAGACCGCGAGAGCAAGCGAGCGATCGATCGATCAGCCAGCCAACCAGCCCGTCACGTTCGGAAAAACGGGTTAGGTGCCGCGCGGCCGCGCGCCCCCGGCGGATTCGTGGAAGGAATCGCACCGGAGATTAAAAGAAAAAAAAAACGAGCTTCAGAGGAAAAGACGTCCTTTCAAACATTCTTAAGAAAAGAATGTGAGCATATTGAGAATTAGTAACATTGAATATTGGGTTAAAATTACACATATCTTACTACACTATCTGGTACATCTCCGTACCGGGGATTCATCATGCACGATTCCTCACTTCTCTCCTGCCAGCCATCGCGGCGCCACAGAATCGCTGCTCCGTCTCGGTGTTCTGCCTCCTGTCCATAGAGCTAGCCAGCCCACGATTTTCTGCCTGCACCGATTCGCGTGTTTTTGGATACTGATCATGTGTGCGATCGACAATCACCCGGCTAAACCTGTCATCATAACTGTGCCTCGCACACTCGGGAGACTTTCTTCCAGCGTACGTAGAATTGTCCTGCGTCTCCTGCCCGCCCATGGAACGAAGTACAACTTGCGAGAGCTCTTGAGACCATAATTAACCATGATTAGTCAAAGGCAATAATTCGTGACACTAATTTCGCTTCGTCGATGCGTGGCACCGAGTGGCCGGCGATTGGCTCGGAGTAAATGCGAGGCAATTGATGGGTTCCTTCTTCCCTGCAGTGGTCCTGGCTGAAGAAAAGGGTTCTTGCTGTTTGCTCTTGTGGCTGCTGTGACACTGTAGGTCCGAGAGAACAATCATAGGTAAATTGTCTGCTTCATGCATGATAACTCATGAATTATGGAGTTTTGATCGACGTAAAGGGAAAAAGATATGATTATTGCCAACCTGGAATTCGTTCTTATCGGCACGGATTGAGAAGCCTGAAGGAACAGGAATGGAATACTGTCAGGTTTTGATGCGCATTCTAATGAAATATTCAGGTGAGGTTTGTAGGTCGGAATTACTTATGCCGAAGTAATAATCGACAAGTACTGAAAAATGTACGCAGAATATAGATCACAGTTGAAACGAGAATGATATACCGTCTGGGCTCTGCATTTTCAGACGGAATTTTCTGTGCTGTATCTGAAAGCAAAAGCAACAGCCTCATTTAAACTGTGAAAGTTAAGCAGACGACATTCAGAGAAGCTGTCAATTCCATCATTTCTTCAAGAGGGGGGCAAACTAATAGTGCCGTGAACTTTCAGCTTGTCATAATGGGAACTAAGCTGAAATTCCCTGGTAATTGCACAGCTTGATTAAATTTTATATAAAAGTAGAATTGTATTTGATATACAACTCTTGTTTTTTTAGTTTTATAAATACAAGTAGATTTTGCATACACCATGATGATACTAGGATTAAATGGTACAAACATTTCTCTTATTCTCCAATTAACGTGGTACTCCCTCTGTTTTAAAAACGGCGATAGTAATTTTAGGCCCCTCAGAGTAACAGATAGGTAAATTAAAGGAAGCCACTCATAGTTGCATACTTGCACTAGTAATCTCCATAAGAGCGAATTTTAGATTGAATTATTTGATGAGCTAAGTTCTTAATTTAAAAGACAGTATATATCTACCCTTCTCTACAAATAAATTGCACTAGTAACAAGTAACAGCAATACATACTTTTCCAATGATTGAGAAGGGCAGATCCAAATTATTAAGACAATGACTACAAAAAATTGACATTACATTTTCATGAAAAATTTTTTGACAATGTCAAATCTCACGTGCCATAACTATTTACTTCCATTTATAAAACACCAGGCTTCATATTTTTTTCAAACAGGTAGGAAAAACAGTATTATTGCATTCATATTTAAATATAAATATATAACAGTAATTTTACTTTTCACCACCTTTTATTACTGACATTTTGCTTTGGATTACCGTTTAACAAATATTTTGAACTTTGGATTAGGTAATCTTACCTTCGTTACACTCTGGGCCATATTGACTCACTTCTCAAGCATATAAACGATTTCGAATACGTCGGCTCTTACTCGTCAATGAACTCCTATAGCCGTATGAGAGATAATTTCTTTACTATAATACAAACTGGATATATATATATATATATATATATATATATATATATATATAAAGAGTTAAGGGTGATCCAAAGTGCCACAAAAGGTAAAATTATCCGGTTTAAAGTGAAAACATTGGTAAATGATGGTTCAAAGTAAAACATTGATAATAAAAGTGGCCCCAAAGCGAAATTCATTCAATATATGATGATGTTAATGTCATTTGGTATGTGGCAAGCAACTTATTTGACCACTCCTTTTCAATTAGAATAAAACGATAATGTCTAACAAAATTATAATATTGAAAAGTACTTATAGAGATAAATCTACCATATTATTTATATGTTTTTAAACTAAATATTTTGAGAGCTGTTGATTATCAAAGTTTTAAAAATTTAACCAAATTAGTCAATAGTGTCACATATTTAAATACAGGAGTAGTATTTACCCGGTTGATGCGTGTAGATCGACATCCCTAAAGAGAAAGTTCATTCCAATTTGTGGTACCGTAATTAAGGCAAATAACATCACAGAAATGGGAGAGGATGCATGTTCAAGATGATAGCTACCCTGATATATCAATCTAGTTTTCCTTATCGGTTATCATTTCGGGTAAGCTACCAACAACATCTCTTTTCTTTTGGAGTATGCTACTAGGAACAACCTATGATGTATAGTTTGATGCATATGTATATACACAGTGGACTAAGAGCATCCCCAGCAGCTCTTCTATCTAGTCATCCATCCGATATTTGGAGTATGGAGGAGAAAAACAATGCTCCAGCAGAGTCTCCATCATCATATGCTCTATTTTTGGAGGTCCTCCAAACCTAGCCCTTCCTAAGCTAAATATGGAGCTCTCTCTCCTCACTTCATCCTCAACTACCCACTCCCTAAGATCTTTTTTAAGTGGTGAAAGGTGAGAGGAATAGGAGTAAAAATGTGTGGTAGTTAAAAAATATTAGTAAAATATAGGATGTTGGTATATGTGGGATGTAATATGAATGATCTGTTGGAGTAAAAAGTTATATAGAGTGAGAATCTTTTTGGATGGCCATCTAAATGAGAGTATGGAGGATAAAATTTAGATGAGCTGCTGGGATGCTCTAACCTTCTCATTTTCTCTCCACTCTTGTGAAGTCCGACAGAAGTTTCGGTGCAAAATTTGAAGGGACAATTCGGCAAACTCAACGTATCCTATACGCATTTGCACCGATTAAAAAGAGAAGTAATTTGGGGCATAGACTTCGCTGTCCTAGTCTTCGGTCTGATGTTACCGCTGTAAACATCGAAATTTATAAGTGACAATTGACATGCCGATCACACTGAATTTCTTCCTACATTTCTACTAGCTAGGATGGCAGAAAAAGTTCAGAAAATCCTGAATTCTTCCTACAGTTCTACTGGGAGCAGGGTTTCGATTTCGAAATTGGATTTTATGCCTGGGGTGACCGAAATGTAATTTCAGAAATTTCTGGCCAAAATTATTTGAAATTTGACTGAATTTAAATAAAATTTGATCAAATTCACAAAAAATGTAAAAAAACTAAAAATTTCGGACGAGAATTGAGCATGCCGGTGGGGGGCGAAATTTCAAACCCTGACTGGGAGTATAGGCAGTATAGGACAAGTTCAGAAAATCGTTGAATTCATCCTACTGTTCTACTGGGAGTGTAGCTGTTTAGCACTAGTTCAGAAAATCTTGGATTCTTCCTACAATTCCACTGAGAGTGTAGGACAAGTTCAGAACATGTTTGCTCTCAAAATATATGCATCTCAAAATCAAATATACCAACTCGATCACACTCGATCGTATCAAGAATTAACAGGAAAGAGAAAAACTTGAAGCATGCGCACAATTTTCGTCTCTATGTATGTACTCTGCAATAATCCATGCGTTCATGAACTATTCACATGGTGCCGTACTGATCCGTACTGACTATCTAACGAAGTAGTAGGTGCTCCGCTCCTTGGCGGCGGCGGCGGCGGCGCGCTGCTGCTGCTGCATGCGCAGCTGCTCGTGGAACCACATGATGAACTCGTCGGCGCGGCGGTCCACCACGCCGAGCCTCCCCTCTTCGTCGTCGTCGCCGTCCGCCTCCCACGCCGGGAACGGCGAGTCCGTGATCCGCACCTGCCGCGGCGCCGGCACCACCACCGCGGGCCACGCGACCACGTCGCCGTCTTCGTCGTCGATATCCGTCGTCATCGCCTCGGCGGCGGCCTCCTCCTTCACGTCCATCAGCTCGAACAGCCTCGACACCGTGGCGGCCGAGCCGTACGGATCCGCGGCGGACGAACGGTCGTGCCACTGCCCGTGCTGCTGCAGGCGCAGCTGGCTGCGGCGCTGCGCGCGGCGGCGCCTGTGCAGCGGCGTGCTGCTGCAGCTGAACTCGACCTCACGGGGCCGGTACTGGTACTGCGACACGGCGGCGGAGGGATCCATGGACCGGCACGACATCGAGGAGAGCCCGGAAACGCCTCCCGACGCGCTGCTGATGCCGCCGCCGCTGCGACGGCGGCCAGCGCCGTGCGCGCCGCGGCCCCGCGGGTACGGGTGCACCGCCGCGGCCGGGTCCATGGACCTGCACGACATCGTCGACGACAGGTACGTCAGCAACGCCGGGTGCTCCCGCAAATCGTCGAGGCCGTGGTCGTGGCCACCGCCGCCATGCCGCCTCGAGGACATCATCTGGTGCAGGTGGACGCCGAGCGCGGCGAGCTTGGGCTGGTGCTTGCCGAGCCCCTTGACGAGGACGAGGTACACGGCGCGCACCACGCGACACAGCTTCTTGGCGCTCTCGCCCGCGGTGGCCGCCTGCCTCTCCTGATGATGCTGGCAACCACCCGACTCCATTGCCGCCTGCTCGCTGCTGCTCATCTCGATCGAAAAAATATTTGTCTCTTCTCTTGTTTTTAGAAAATTCCGGTGATCTCAGCTGCGATCTCCTGGACCAGCTACTCCTCTCTCTCTTTCTCTCTGTGTTCTTCGCAACCAATGAGGCTTATTATCAGAGAGGAGACGAGAGGGAGAGGTATTTAAAGGGGGCCAGATCACTAGCTGGGCATTCATGGCAAAGGGAAATTATTGGTGTACGTATCGTCTTCGTATTGTTCCTTTCGTGTTTCGGACACATGCCTGCTTTTTTTTTTCGTGACGCGTTCAGTTTTGATCAGTGTGATTTAGTTGGTGGTTTTCTTGGTTTATTACTGGAGCTAACTAAGGCACTATTTAGATCCCGCCCAAAAATTTTTACCCTATCACATCGAACATTTAAACACATGTATGAAGTATTAAATATAGGTTAAAAAATAACTAATTGTGTAGATTGCGACTAATTTACGAGACAAATCTTTTAAGCCTAATTACTTCATGATTTAATAATGTGGTGCTACAGAACATTTGCTAATGATAGATTAATTAGGCTTAATAAATTTATCTCGTGGTTTACTGACGGATTATGTAATTAGTTTTTTTATTAGTATCAGAACACCTCATGTGACATTAATATAATACCTGATATGACATGCTAAAGCTTTACACCGTTAGATCTAACTACCCCCTAAGCTCTAAGCTTGCCGTGTCCAGACCGGATCTGATAGGTACGGGCAGTATATAGATAGCTGCTTTTAAATTACCTTTCTGGAGACGCTTTCAGAGGTTTACCAATTGGGTTAATCCGAGTGTTTAAGTAGTAAAACACGTGCATATATGGCACTTGCATATACTGTACGCGGCGATAATCAGTTAAGAGAGTTGTTGAATGACCTGCGTAGCTGCTCCATTTTAGTATTACTCTTTTCCGGTTGATAATATTTGTCCCGGAGAAAATATTAAGTTATTGCAGAAACATTGTCCTAAGGATTTTGGTTAGGAAGTTGACAAATACAATGCCAACCGCTCGATTATCATGGCTATTGGACTTATTGATCCAGTATATATCAATTGAGAAACCGTTCGATAAACTCGTCAATTTAAAAATAATCAAACTAAAGTTCAAATTTGTGGTAAAATCTGTTTGAGTTTAACCGGTTGCTGTGACCGAACGATTTTCTAATCCATGTTGTCCAGTTGCATGTTTATCAATGTCATACACCTCAAATAACCGCTTACCATTTTTTTCGGCCAGATGTATATGACTGTACTACCATTTTTATTTGTTACTACTACTAGTTTGCATAGTGCTCATTTAGGTAAGTACTTATTTTTTTTAAAAAAATGAAGTCAATAGAGAAACAAATAAAGTGGTCCCTTTCATGGTTCCATCATCAAGCTCTAATTAGGTTTAGACATTTGGAAAGCTTTTTAGTGTTAAGACAATTAGTTAGGATCTTCTTTTAGTGTCGGACATGCTGGTTGAAGGGAAGAAATTGTCTAGAAAATACTCAATCATTGCTTGTTTTGGGCCCATAGAAGAAAGGGCAAATGAACTTTTCATTAAAACTGGTGTCATTAGTCCATACGGACGGGATCATAATGAAGAATTGATGCCGTATTCAACCCTGAAAGAACAGCTCCATGAACACTCGGCAAACCAGTGATAAGATGGGATCTTAATATTAAAGACATTTTTGTCAAAATATAATGAGGAAGCGTTACTAAAAAAGAATATCAAGGATGTCTTTTTCTGTCTTTCATGAATTACAAGTGGAATTTTGATGTCACCAGCTGGACAAATCAAGTCACTGTTCATTATTGAAAAGGTTATATATATATATGGACTGCAATTTCATAACAGGAAGGAGTCCATAGGCTGCTGCTAAGGGCCTGTTCACTTTGATACCATTTTCAATATTACCAAATTTTAGTAAAGTTATTAAAAAATGGCTATATTTAGTTTGCTGTCAAATTTTGGTAACTATATAAGAAATCCTGCCAAAATTTTGGTAAGTCATTGCCAAAATTTGATAAGGTTTTTTTTTGGCACCAAAGTGAACATGCCCTAAGTTTGATATCACTGTCCAAATTTAATGAGGCCCCACCAATTATCACTGTCCAGCTCGAGCAAACAGCTACTAGTACTCAGCTAGCAAATGAACGGCATTTCCATGGTTTAGTATTCGGTATGAATTAACTTGTCATTAATCTGGTCTATCCATGGACTGTTTAACACTTGCAAGAAATAGCACCATTTACTGCTTTTACTGTGTATTTTCCGGGCCTAATTAAATACTCCAGTACACGCCACATTGAGATATTTCTAATCCCTGGGATGTCCCCTGTACGTTCCCACTTCTCACATATAGCACACAAGGGACAAAAAGACCTGTTGGCTGTTTGAGTGTGTTGATAAAGTTTATGTTTTAAATTTCATAAGATGTAGTATATATAATGTGCCAATACGTTGCCCCCTTTTTTTGGTAAAATTTAGCTATTTTTCTGGTGCAAGGAGTAGGCTGAATATCTTTGTAAATGATTAGAATTTTTTTTCTTTGACATGGCTTTTGTTTTGATTATGCTCTTCTCCATGAGAGAGAGAGAGAGAGAGAGAGAAGTTACGTTTGCTCCTAAATTTTGCCGATTCTACAACAACATATAGAGAGTATATAGAAATCAGAAAAATCACAATTAAGAAGCAAAATTTAAAACGGCCTTCCAGTATTTTCAGGGGAAAAAACGAACTCTAATGAAATTCTCCATCGACAACACTCTTACTTGAAATATTTATCTGCTTTATTAACAAGTTAAGTTGTTATGCGACTCAAGAGTGTACTAGAGCAGGTTTTCAGTTAATCACTTGGACTAATTCCTTCAGTCACGATCAGTTTTCATGCATTATGCGTGTAGTCTTGGGCAAAAAGCGCTATGTATTTAAGTCCAAATTTCAAATAATTAGTACTAGTAAGCATTATACGTCTTCATCAGTGTTGATCAACCGGACGCGTTGAATACTTAACCAAGATATTTCCTAATTGACATTTAAGGCTCGGCCATGGACCTAGAAATGTGACCGGTGGTTGATCCACTGCCTGTTGCAGTAATCAGCAGGAGATTTAGATAGTGTTTCTCCATGTGCCTAACCCGACTACCTACATAAGCCTAACTTAGATACAGTGTATTAATTAATTACTGTATATGTGTATTTGTTCGGCAACGAATTCAGCTACCAGCTTATCCCACGTATCTATCTTGCTGCTGTGTTTTCAGACACCTAATAATTAAATTGTTAGTCCCTAGTAACTATTGGATCATACCAAGTTAAAAGGTTCGATGTGTTTTCGCCTGGTTAAAAGTATACCCGTCTGGTTTACTTCTTTGGAGAGACTGGTTTTGGCGTGGCTCGTTGAGTCGTTGACCTGCAGCCAGGTCTACTAAACCGTTTTAAAGGGTACAGTTATCATCACCTCACGATTTAACAGTCACCCTAAAATACCGTGATGTAGTTTTAAAATCTGAAAAGAATATATATAGTAAATGATGCCTGCATGAGCTCACGTCGATCTTAACACGGAACCCAGGGGCTCTTGCCTCTTGGTCGACGATCAAGTTTTGCGATCGCTGGACGCATGGCAGGTTGGGCAGCGGAGTCGCCGAAGTGAAGCAATCGCCGTGTGTTGGAGACGCAGGCGAGTCGTCGTCGTCGTCGTCGCCGCGCCGGATGAGTCGACTAGCTGGCGGCTAGCGGCTGCATAGAACCAACGTTGTTCGGGACTTCGGGCCGGTGACTGAAGGACGTGATCACGCGGGTGGTGGATAAACGGGCCGAGGAGATTGGTACATGGGCCGTAGATGAATTCTGGGCTGGAGGCCGCAGCTGAATATATAAGCCCATAAAATGCCTTCGTTTCAGCGGGACGACCAATCAAGGGCTTTGACGGTTGTTAATTAAGGAACTATACTAGTACTACTCTATGCTGTGTTGAGTGTGATTCTTTTTATTACACGAAACACGCATACGATACGCACGTACGATACATCATACTCCCTCCGTTTCGAAATGTTTGACACCGTTAACTTTTTAGCACATGTTTAACCGTTGTGAAATATGTAAAATTATATGCCTATATAAAAATATATTTAACAATGAAACAAATGATAGAAAAAGAATTAATAATTACTTAAATTTTTTGAATAAGACGAAAGAACAAATATGTTTAAAAAAGTCAATGGTATCAAATATTTTAAAACGGAGGTAGTATTTTCGCGAGTGCAGCCCCTAACAGATACTTAGAAAACATATGAAGACCCTGTAAAACACGTTTAGTTAAACAGAAACTAACGACATACCCCTAGTCCATTAAATTTCTAATCAAAGCTCACGTGTGCGTGTAGTATTATTTATGGGCATCAGAGTTTAGCTTTCGATCGGTGAAGTCATGTCTCCACGACTCAGTCGACTCTACCACTACACCTCCGACGCTTCCTCGTGTTAAGTGTGATTTTAAATAGCAACCGGGTTAGCTTGGCTTAGCTTATTGTGTATTAATGTATTATGCGATTAATTGGTCAATTTTTTCAATACAATAATTTGAGAAACTATCGACGTACCTTTTGCATGAAACCACTCTCGTTTCAGTCACTTTTAAAAGGCTCGGATCGTGTTAACATTTGTGTAAACATAATAACCTTGCCATTTTATTCCCCTCCCCCTTCTCTTGCTCGCCTCCTCCACCGCCGCTCCCACCTCCCCACCCTCACCAATACCAGAAGACGCCAACAGTAGTAAAGCCCCACTAGCCATTCTTCTCCCTCTCCCCCTCACTATCTCTCCTAAGCCACGAGGCGATGGGGTACCCCAGTCCCACTGTCTTCCACATCTCTAATGGCTCTCTTGCCCATCAGAGACCTCGTCGCCTCCCCTGCCTCCAAACTACTCAGGATGTAGCACACCCACCGTCAACCACATCCACCACCGTCCTCCAACCCCATGGCTCCCCCGCCACCTCCCGTCACCTTGTCCCCACCTCCCCAGTCGTGGTCACCGCTGCCACCGCTCCCTACCATGGAACTAGTGGGTGAAGAAGATATGGAAGCCCTCCCGGCCGTGACCGGCCCCAGCGCCAATGGCGAGGTGACCGTGGAGGAGTGGCAGTGGTGAGGCACCTCCTCGCACGCTCCAAGCCACAATGACCACCATAATCCGTGAACTTCTTGAGAGGAGGAGGAGGTGCACGCGAATGGAGAGGAGGGTGAGGAGAACGGACTGACGGGGGTGGGGGGAAGGAGAGGGGGAGCCCGAGGGATCAAGGACGGGAGGGGAGAACCGAAGAAGGGGGAGGAAGGTGCGAGCGGACGGAGTTTTTTATGAGGTGGGGGCTCGGCTTGGCTCTGTCAGTTTTAATTGGTGCTGGTGTTCTTTTAAAAAAGAGCACCAATAATGTTAGTTCTTTAGAAAATTGGTATCTATAATCTACTATAGGTGTCGGTTCTTTTAAGAAAATGTAGCTACAGTATTGGTGTCGGTTTTTCCTTTAGAACCAATACCTATAGTGTTCAAAGGTATCGGTTCTATATTTCTTTATCACTCGAAGATGGGAAAAGGTCCAATGAACTGGCACCTATACTCAAGCCGATACCTAACCTATACTCAAATCGATACCTATAAGGGATTCTGTAGTAGTGGATTCACGGGTTGACTCACTTACCCACTGAGATATCGATAAAGTATAGGCATCATAATACATAATCGACGAATCGAACTACCAATTGAGTTCCTCCCGTACATCTGATGATCTGAACTGAACATTTTATTATTAGGTATATAGTATTATGAGATTGTTTAGCTTTTGGATGACTACTGTAACTCGTCACCTGAATCGAAAAAGTTTTTCATCCCTCAAGGGGATATCTTCTCGTTTCATGCATGCCACCTAAATAGTAATAAAAGTATGAAAAAGTTGATAGGATGGATAAATATGATATATATCACTACATAAACATGCAAGTTAAAATTCTACTTTAACAATTTGTAAAAAAATAATAAATATAAATGCGAATGCATGATAATTACTTTAAATTTTCCTTTGTTGCAACTTGCAGAAATCGAATTTGACATTGTATATTTGTAGAGTGATATATTTCATATCAATCTATGTTGTCTTTTTTTTGTTATTTTTTTAATAACTATTTAGATGCTCTAAAACTTCTTATATTTTAGAACGGAAGGAGTAGTTTGTAAGTAACGAGGGGACGTCGCCACTACGGATGAAAATCCACATATATCCACCTTAATCAAATATAATTGGCTCCTGGCAGAGTTGTTTCAGGCTTTGTAAAGGAGGGGTCCTCTGATACTCCCCTCTCGCCGTCGCAGTTATATCAGTGATGAAAACGTAAGTCTCTTTATGCAAAAACCATGAGCCTAAGCGTACGGTGGACACTGCTTACATCGTACACGGAGCCGCATGCAAGCACAAGCTAGCCACGCAACTTGGCTCATCACAAGAACTTGTAACTATACATCGACATAGATGTGCCCACCACCTTAATCCAATTATTCCAATACACCATGTACACCACTGATGATCACGTATGACCGTATATATAAATATCACGTCAAATGCCTGCAGGCTGCAGCAGCATCTTTCAGTCACTATATATGTATACTACTACTCTATAATAACTTGTTATATATACATATATACATGCATAAATGCGTACATATGTACAGATATATGCGTAAAAGTATACTACTACGTAGGACCTGTATAAGGATGTGCATGCATGATCGCTCGCGTGGGCACGCGTACACGTATACGTATACGTAGGCAATCCGATCGTTAGACGTAGGGGAGGGCGCAGCTGGTGGAGCGGGCCATGGTGGCGGCGCCGGCGCCGGAGCAGGCGGAGGGGATGACGTCGGCGCCGGTGGCCGTGGCGCGGTGCTGGCAGCTCTTGCGGGCGATGTCGCGCATGGAGCTTGCGAGGGAGAGCTTGGGGTTGAGGCGGACGGTGGAGTTGAAGCGCTCGCAGAGCGCGGCGTGCGCGTCGACGGCGCCGTCCACGGTGAGCGCCGGCTCCCGCTTCTGCCGCTCCTTGACGGCCTCCGAGCACAGCCCGCACACCCACTTCCCGTGGAAGCGCTCCCGCACCCGCCCGATGTACCTCGGCGTGCACTCCTCCGCCATCCCGCAGCACTCGCACCGCACGCTCCGAGCCTCCTGATCCGCCCCCGCCGCCATCCCGCCGCCGCCGTCCGAGTTCGACCTCTGCAGCGCCGCCGCGCCCTGCATGCAAACCACGCAAAAAGACGTAAATATTAGAGAAGAACTAATATCAAATAATTAAAAGGAGGCTTCGAATCCAAATCATTTAGCCCACCGCCCTAAAAAGCTAGCCGAAAGATTTCTTGATATTTCTCCATATATAAACCACGTAGAGCACCCATCCGTCACCATGACATAAATTCCATCGTATTTATAGACACAACTGCGTGTACACGTCTATAGGTGGGTCGGCCGTCGCCGGCCTAGCTCCCTCCTTGTCACGTACGTATAGCAGTCACCATTCATCACCAACCTCACTAATTACAAGTACACAGAGCGAGCCCATCACAGGTGATTGTTTACTTGCCATTCTGATTGATGGACCTATCAGCACTAATTCTTTGATGATAGAAAGGCAGTTTTCACATACTAGCTTTAATTAACACCAAGTAACACAGTATAATGATGGATTATACGTGCAGATCAATGATAGCTCGAATTTGAAGAGGGTCATTAGAGCAGGCACAATAGCAGGCTATAAGCCATCTAGAAACATATTTTATGAGATAATAGAGGAGAGAGAAGAGCAGCGGGCTAGAAATCTGTAGCCAGCTGCAGCACGGACTTCAAAACATGGTGTGTGTATGACAGGTGGGACTATGTATTAATAGTATAGTAAACAACTATTATATGAATTGACTATTAGATTGGCTATAGATAAATTAGAGTTACTAGTGAGCTATACTGTTGAACTTCTCTTACCGTGGGGGGCTCAGCCTGCTGCCTAGCCATAGCCAAACGCCAAGGCATCTCGCCCTCTCTCTCTCTCTCTCTCTCTCTCTCTCGAACTTTCCTTTCCTAAATAAAGCTACTTTAATCACCTGCTAATCAATGAGCTAAGCTGTCTAATGTGTGTGCACACCAATCGCAAGCTGCTAGGCCTACCACCTGGCCCTATTTATAGGCACGAGCCGCCCGAAGCAATCGAGGTCTCGGGTTGGTCCGGCTCAGGTCCAGTGTGCGCGCACAGTGTCTCTCACTGGATAAAATCTCCCCACGAAAACCAATCCATCTTCGCCAAAGGGGACGAACCACACCCGCGCCGTCGAGCTCGAGAGCAACTTGGGGGATGGATGGCCAATGTCAGGTTAAAAGTTCGCGGAAAAAAGCGATCAAAATATCTCCATGCTGCATGATTTCGCCTGATCTGTGTTGCGGTTTTTTTCCCAGAAAAGTGCACCGGATCGATCCAGCACAGGAGCGGATCTTTTCAAGCGGCCAAATGGGCAGCCAAGCAGGTTAACTTTCTCGTCGATTAATTTTACTGCTACTGTTGCATGGAGTACGATTCAGGATACCAGCAACTGTCACATACAGCAGCGTGCACGCACATAATCGTCTCTACCCTAAATGGTCGATCTGTTCATCCATGCATCCAATTAAGTAAGTGGCAAAAAGGATTTATTAATGTCTGAACACATTTATCTTGATTCTTTTCGGATTACGGTTTCATCTGCAGAGATCGACTGCACGCACACGCTTGCACATGGTGCGGCGGATTGGATGGGGATCGATTGATCAAGCGGGTTGTCGAAATCAAATTAATCGCGCGCGCGCGCCTGTGAGCAGCTCACGGGATGCGCATCGCGGCCGCCATCGACAGAGCTCCATCGCCTAACCTCATCTCCGGCAACATGACGACTACTTTTCCTCTTTTTCGCCTCCCTTTCGGGTGCGGGTCATCGCTCGCCGGCGTACATCATTCGATCGTCCGCATGTCGCCGGTGATTTCACCTCCGGCGCCGTACGCCTAGCTGAGGCGATTCAGGTGAGTGTGTCCCAAGTGGATATTGAACCCCAGCAATTGGTGATACTAACTAATAATTAGATATCTAAATAAAGCGTAGGTTGCTGCGCAAGATCTGCGTGCTCTTTCTTGCATGTGGAGAGATCGATCGATATATACCTGCGTATGTGCCTCACTTTACTAGCTAGCTATACGTCTCAGTACTTTCGTACGTAGTATGTAGGTAGCACGACATATTAGCAATGTGTGTTGACGATGGTACGATATATATATATATATATATATATATATATATATATATATATATTTTTCCATTGTTAGATGTGGCAAATAACTATTTACCACATGGATTCACATGTCATAGACACATGACATGAGGATCCACATGTCATTAACACATGTGTGGCAAAATAGTTAAACGCCAAATCTAAGAGTGATAAATAGTTAAATGTCCCGTAACTTCTATTAATTATAAAATCAATCTATCTATTGAAAGATAGTAATATAGTGAAAGTTAAAATTTGATGGTCAACGGTGACAACTGACAAGCAAATGAAGGCGGTTGGAGTAATTTTGTGTAAATACTCACATATATGCCGTAGATTCTTTTTTTGCAAAAGAAGATAACTGTGTTGCTTAAGGAGTAGCCTCATATGATTTTTTTTTTTGTTAAGGAGTTGAATCCCTGTACTCATAGCTTACTGCTTCAAACCATTATCTTTTTCTTGTAGCACTTTAGTTAGTTTTGTTTTGTTGCAGATATATGGTTCACTCTTGTAGCGATGGTGTGTGGTCGTTAGTATCGGATCTCAATATGGTTATTAGCTGTTGTCGATTTCTGTAGTCGACAGAGAGGTTTGTGAGCAGTATTTGGTAGTGGGTTTAAGGTTATTGTGGGCACTTGACTAACTAGACAAAGAACACAAAGATTTTTTACACAGGATTAGACCTCCTGAATGATAATACGGCTACTCCTATCGAAATGTATTGAGAGGGAAAAAGGATTACACTTTGCTCATGCAAGGATGTTATGCCTCTCTCTCTCTCTCATGTGCAAAAGCACCTATTATTGCGCCACACCAATGCTAGCGTCGTTTTATTTACATTATCCTACCTTCTTCACCTTCTATCATATCGACAGGCGTACTGCTTCCAGGCGTCTCTAACTAGTCATTGTCTCGAGTTGTGTTGTACGGGACATTTGCTTTCCCATCTAACTGGACAGGGGCAGGTAATGATGTATGTTATGGGTACACGGGATATGCTTGATCACCTGTATTTTATGTGAGAAGACTTGTGATAGACATACGTATTTATTGTGGAATGACAGGATGCTTAAGTGTACATTACATTCTATACTCATGTCTTGACCAAGGGACCTATAGAGAGACGGTGAACACCACTACTAGTAGTCGCGAAGACCACTGGAGATCAGCAAAGACTATTAGAGATCACTGCCAGCAACGCAGAGACCATCGGAGATTAGAGGGACCACCGCCATAGTCACTGAGATCACTGCTAGTGGCCACATAGACCACTTTCATGTCCACGAAGACCATTAGTTTATTAGCAAATCCTGCCTATTCCGAGAAGAGTAGGAGGCGCATAGGGCATCTTCTCACCCATGACCCTAGTAGTTGTTTCGAAGATTATCAATCTCACTCTATGTAGAAAAGATATAGGAGCAAAAAATGTGGCATGCATGCTTTAAATTAAAATACAATATACACTTATGCACCAGGGATGGTAACTAATGGCTGTCAAAGTTTTCTTCATTGTTTAAAGAAAATAGAAAAGACAAATAAAAGGTTGTTTCAAATGAAAAGTCAAACTAATTAAGGTGGTGGATATGAATTGGAGCATGAAACTTTTGTTCTTGTCACAAAAGTACGGCCCATTCTCAAGTGCTCAAATTTAGGCACTTCTGTATGCAACTTTACAGTATTTTTTTATAAGATACGGTTTAATTTACATAGGAATAGGAAAAACTCCGGTGTTTCAAAGCAGACCTTCAATTAGGAACATGTTTGTTTTTGCCATTGCATCCATGTTCCATCTGTTACCTCCTTGCAACTTAAAAAACGACAAAATAATCCATTGGCAAAAAAGTAACTGTTCCTAGGTAGCAAGAAGAAAAATCATCGGAATATGAAAGTTACACGCAATGTACAACTTACAGCAGCATGTATAATAAAACCAACATGATCTAGTAATTCTATACTAAAATAGGAAAGTACAATATACAGCATGTACAAGACTTATAACGTGAACCTGTTCACCACTTACATTACCATCACACACACTGACTCACACAGTTATACAGCTCATGAACAATTAAAACTTGATGCATGCAGCAGTGTACTAACTTGACAAATAATGCAAGTGCCTCTCTGCCGTTGTGTCACCTACTCGCCTGCATTCTAGTACAAGTCTACAAGATTTCTACTGTACATGTACTCCCTGGAGCAGCTGTGCCAGTGTTGGTTCATTATGTTGTTGCTAGCAGGAACAAAAATGTGTTGTGTTGATCAATGTTCCCGGCACCACTTTTATCGCGATGACACCTGCAGGTATAGGCTGCAGTATGCATGCGACGGTAGTAATTAAGGCCCTGTATAGATGGGACTAAAACTTTTAAGTCCCTATCACATCGGATGTTTGAAAATTAATTATAAATATTAAACGTAGACTATTAATAAAACTCATCCATAATCTTGGACTAATTTGCGAGACGAATCTAATGAGCCTAATTAATCCATGATTAGCCTATGTGATGCTACAATAAACATTCTCTAATTATAGATTAATTAGGCTTAAAAAATTTGTCTCGTGAATTAACTTTTATTTATGTAATTAGTTTTGTAAGTAGTCTATATTTAATACTCTAAATTAGTGTCTAAAGACAGGGACTAAAGTTAAGTCCCTGGATCTAAACACCACCTAAAGGCTGCACACAATTCATGTCTTGCTGTTGCAAGCTCATTCTTCAGTTCTGAGTTCTCTGGCTCGCACATGGTAAGCATGCGCATGGGATACTAAGCTTGGCATCATGCCATCTAAATAAGTACGCGGAGAAATGATATGTAGATGGAAAGAACATACCTCTTCCAGAATGGTGCTAAATAAAAAGAGGAAAGTAGCACACACACAAAACACCTGAGATAGATAGGACATACACATCGGAAAGATAGGTTCGCCCATAGGAAAGACAATACCGCTCTAAACAAGTTAGGTTTGTGATGTATTCCGTCCATGGTATTTTGATCATCTAAAAGGTATCATGTTAAGGTCTAAAAGTCGAGCTATAGTCTTGTCAATGTTGAGTTGAAATCAACGGTCAATAAAAAAGTAGACAACTTGTCCCACACAAGTTGAGATAAGACACATCTTCGATATCATCCTTATGAATGATAGGTGTTTTTAGCGGCTATGATATTGATAGTGTTGGCCGACCTAATAATTATATATATGATCGACCTACTTATCAAGCAAAGAATATGTAGGTCCGTGACATGTATGAATCTGACAGGTACTTTTGTCATAAATAGACTTGGATACGATACGTGTCTTTATTTAACAAGCGGCTGATATTTCAACGTACAAAACATAAAGTGTAGAGTAGAATCACGAGAAGTATGAAGTGGAAAATATAACACCCTCCTTACAATTACTTTTTTTTTCTTTCTGCAGGTTGTCACATGATATAATAGATGTTTCAAGCATCTACAAAGGCTACAACCCTCGGGGTAAAGAACCCATTGTCAGTAAACGGAGTACAACCCCGTTACAGAGCCATAGGAGTCATAAAACCGCCGAGATAATACAGAAATGGGCTTTCTGCACCTGGGCCTGAATCAGAAGCCAGAAGAAAGGCTGTGCGCAGATGGAGAAACTAAAAACTTTGTAGTGTACTGTGTGGGCTATGACAGCCTCTCACAGCAAATTCGCAGTATCTCAATACCAAAGACATTGCCGTGGCCCAGGTTTTAGACATTGCCGTGACATTGATCGTTATCGCTAAAAAGAAGAAAAAAAACGGACAACTCCATTTACTCCTTACCTTTCTCGGTTCACATGCGGATCTACCAACGACAGCGAGGACCCTGGTTAACTGTTCGTGCCTGCTGCAAATACTCCTCGCCTACTCGGTCTTGTTGCTCCATCAGGTGATCCCATGGAGTGGCAGAAGAAATGAGAAGCAACACGCTGCTCCTGCTGGCCGGTTCAGTGGACGTACGACGCAACCACGTACCGGTGATTACTGTACGTATATATGCGTAGTAAATGCCTTCACGAAGGCACGGCAAGGTGGCACGGGAAAGATCAACCAGTGTCACGAACGCCGGTGCAACTAGGCGGCAGTAGCTGCCTGCGCGCAGCAACCCAGTCAGTCAGTCACCGCGCGTGGCGTGACACGGTGTACGTGCTCGGTTGCGGCCGTAGCTCATGGGGTTCTTGCCGGCCCCCGGCCGTCGCGTGCACGCGCGCGCGGCGGCAGACGCCTCGATCATCGATCATTCATCCGTCGACGGCGACACACGGCCGCCCGGCCTGCGCTGCCACACGCGCGCGGTGCCCGGCCGACTGTGACGCGTGTGGATTGGGCACGCGAGGCGAAACGTAAGGTGGAACGCGCCGCGTGTGCGTGCGCGCGCGGGGGACGCAGCGCAGCCCGGGCCACTTGGCCGAGCCGCGCGTCCCACTTGGGCACTTGGCACAGCCGCGCGCGTGTTGGAGAGTTGGACGCCGCCGTTTCACGGGCGACGGGCGCAAGCGGGCAATTTGAATATTTGATGGTGCGAAGCACTGTTGCGTACGTATATATGCGCGGCTCAGAGGCTGTTTGCGCGCGCGGAATTACATATGTTTCCATCTGGAAAGGATAACTATGTACTAGATCGAGTATCAGTGAGAGGATACGTACTCTTCTGCTGCTTCCTGGTGTATATGTCCTGTGTTGCCGCCTTGCCGGGCCAACTGTTATCGTACTGTAGTCTGTGGAATGTACTCCGTACATTCATCAGAGCAGGTACAATAGCAGCAGACTATTAGCCAGCTATAAACATATTTTAATGAGATAAAATATGAAAGATAAGAGCATCGGGCTACAGA